AACGTCCCGGTGGGAGAGCATGGCAGAGCAAAGCCGCTCACACAGTGAAGAGAGGGGGGGGGGAAGGGGCTGGGAACCCCACGGTTCCCTCCTCCAAGGTCACGACCCTGATTACCCAACTTCTTCCCTCTAGGCCTACTGTCTCTGGAAGTTTCCACAAACTCCTTATCATACTATAGGCTGGTGACCAGACTTTTAACACGTGACCTTTGGGTGGGTGATATTTTAGATGAAAACATTATTGTGTTCTGTGTTCTATGTTCTCTCTCTCTCTCTCTCTCTCTTGTGCCATCACTGGGGCTTGAACTCAGAACCTCATGCGGTTGCTCAGCTTATTTGCTCAAGGCTGGTGGTCTACCACTCGACCCACACCTCCACTCCTAGCTTTTCGCTGGTTATTTGGTGCTGATATAAGACTCAGATTTGTCTGCCTGGCTGGCTCTGGGCGTCTACCTGCAGATCTCAGCCTCCAGAGGATGGAGGCTTGCAGGCCTGGTCCCCAGTGATATGGCTCAAACCATGTCTTGTCTAATGTTATGAAATCTGCCATTTTTCTATCCTAAAAAAAAAACAAGCTTACATATTCTCTGGACCATCCATAATCATCTGCCTGGGGCTGGGAAGGTGGCTCAGTGGTAGAGTGCTTGCCTTGCATGCCTGAGGCCCTGGGTTCGATTCCTCAGCACCACATAAGCAAAAAGAAAAAAAGCCAGAAGTGGTGCTGTGGCTCAAGTGGTAGAGCACTAGCCTTGAGCTGAAGAGCTTAGTGACAGCACCGAGGCCCAGAGTTCAGGCCCCACAACTGGACCTAAAAAAAAAAAAAAAGAAATGTACTCATTACCTTGCTCATGTAACTGTAATCCTTTTGTACAGTATTTTCACAATAAAAAACTTAATTAAAAATGTATATAGTAAAATATATATAGTAAACTTATACAAATAAACTTACATCGTAAATAAACTCATCCCTATATAAAAATAACTAAATATAGTTGTAATTTATAAGTAATTTTTTACTTATTTGTAAATAAGATAATACATTATAAAATATATTTTACATATGTCAAATATATTATAATATAGTTGTAATATGCTAGTACTATACAAATATGATTTGTAATGCATTTTAATATATACATATATTTGTATATATATTTGCTCTCTGAGGGGGTTTCATTTGAATGTTTCCACACATGCATATGATGTAAATTCACCCCCTATTATATTCCCATTCCTCCCTACTTTGGAAATCATATTTTGTCTATTTCATTGTGCTGTATGCATGTATGTGTGTATGTATTTGTCTATATTGGTTTATGCTTTGATTTATAAAATATGAGCCAGATCTGTGCAGACAAAGCATTGAGGCACAAGAAGGTTCCAGACAGTCCCTGTGTTCAGACCACAGTGAGGTTAAAAAAATACATATGCATTTTCATTTCATGGAAATGAAAACATTTAAAGCTATGTTTCTATTTAAACTACATAATTAACTCTATGTTACCACACTTGCTGCATTCTATGTGTTTTTAATTGTACAATGATGCCAAATAACACTTAGATCAAAGATCAGGATAAGCATATTTTACCCCCTCAAACATTGATCATTTCCTTGTGATCAAAACATATTAAGTCCTTTCTTCTAGCTCTAAAAACCGTAGGGCACAGTACATTTCCTTCAGGAATGGGTAATTTAATGTCTTGTTCCAATTAGGAATAAAGTATATCTAGGTTGCTACTGGGGTTGAAATGGGAACTGAGGATTCAGGAAGATTTTTGGGAATGATCTAGTAGGAATCATGAAGCATAAACCAGCAAACTAAGATGAAGAGGGTCTAACGTAGCTGTTCTCATACGTAAGTAGCCACTTTGAGCTTGGAAGATATTAAGACCAGGCCCACACCACAGCGATGAATTACTCTATCTGGAGAGAAAACCAGAAGTTCCTTTTCTGATCAAGAGGTGCAGCCATTCCTGAGAATCACAGCTGCAGGCTGAGAAAGGAACAAAAAGCAAGACAGTGTGTGTGTGTGTGTGTGTGCGTGCGTGTGTGCGTGCGTGTGTGCGTGTTTGTGTGTGCGTGTGTGTGCGCGCGTGTGCGTGTGTGTGTGCATGGGTGTGTGTGTGTGTGTGTGCGTGTGTGTGTGCGTGTGCGTGTGTGCGCGTGTGTGTGATATGAATGTCAAAGCTTTCCATTCTAGATGGAAGGAGTCCACAGAAAGTTAACTCCTTCTGACCAGTCAAGGATTTCTTTTGTTACACTGCAGGCAAACACACAATGTAGTAGTTTAAGGCAAGAATGTTTCGTTTTGTGTTTGTTTTGTTTGCTTGCAGGGTGGGAGGTGGGGTTCTGCTTTGTGTCTTTGTTGTCTTCCACGTACATTGGCGGGGTATTTACTGTCTGGAGCCAGTTGTCCTGTTGGGAAAGAAAGAATGGTCCACAATACTCACAGCAGCCTTCCACCTGCAATTGACGATGATACTTCACGTCTAGTAGCTAAGTCAAGTGACTCTATTGAAAATCATGGGCTACCATGGGCCTGTTTGGATGGTAATTGGAATATTGGTGAAAATAACGGTCACTGAGTTCCATGAAAACAAATTGAAATGGATTGCTCAAATTAGACACATCTGAGGTTTCCCAGGATCATGTGACCTCTCTACAGTGACGTCACTGTGTTTGGGCTGAGTAGGTTCTCCCCCAAGGGAACCAAATTTGGTTCTTTTTCATTCTTATATCAACTCTCCCACTTTCCATTTCTTTTTTTTGGGGGGGGGTCCAGTCGTTGTGCCTGAACTCTGGGCCTGGGCACTGTCCCTCAGCTCTTCAGCTCAAGGCTAGCGCTCTACCACTTGAGCCACAACGCCACTTCCGGCTTTTTTCTTTTTGCTTATGTGGTGCTGAGGAATCGAACCCAGGGCCTCATGCGTGGTAGGCAAGCGTGCTACCACTGAGCCACCTTCCCAGCCCATGATGGGATATCGGGACTTTCTGTAATTCTTCACATGGAAAATTTTCATGGTTGGAGCGGAGTGAATGTTAACCAGGGCTCTTCGAACCAGCTGGAAGGCCTGGGGCCCCACCCAGACCCCATTTCTCCTTTTCTCCTCTTGGCTTCTTCCTTTGTGAGGGTGGATGCTAAAAAGCCAACTTGGCTCAGGACTGCTTCCTCTCATCTTCCTGCCTCATGTGTATAAATCAAAACCCTCCTCTAATTATGAGTTCAAAGAACGTACCCACAAGTCGCTTTATTTAATTCCTAGTCGTAACTTCCGGTGGAGGGATTGTTCAGTGCTTTCATTGTATAGTTAAGGAAAGGAGAGCCAGACAGGAGAGATCTCGCAAGGTTTTCTGAAAGATTTCAGCACCCACGTCTGCTTTCTGCATTATGTCCTCTTCTCCAACTTAATGGGACACAATACTTCATTCATTTACTAGTTTTTAATGTCTTCATTCTATCTGGAATTGTGTTCATCCTGCCAAACCCTTTTCAATGTCTTTAGAGTTGGACTTCACATTTCTCTAGTTCTTATCTTCCATCCTCCAGACTTGGTAAGGAGTGATTCACAATGTCCTTCCGGTTACATCTTGTGGTGCCTGTTAACTTGCTTTTGACCACTAGGTGGCACTAGGCTGTGAGATTATTGAGAACAAGAATGACTGCTCGAATAGAGCAATCGCAGAGTTGTAGCAACATGCCTGGGACCAAGCATGGACTCAAAGGGTTGACCAGTCTTATTCCTCATAAGACCAGATAATAAATCGTTTGGCTTTGTGAACCATGGGGGATGGGTTATAAGTTAATTCTACCCCTGTAGCTTGCAAAAAGGGGCTGGGAAGGTGGCTCAGTGGTAGAGCGCTTGCCTTGCATGCATGAGACCCTGGGTTCCATTCCTCAGCACCACATAAGCAAAAAGAAAAAAGCTGGAAGTGGCGCTGTGGCTCAAGTGGTAGAGTGCTAGCCTTGAGCTGAAGAGCTGAGGGACAGCGCCCAGGCCCAGAGTTCAGGCCCCACGGCCGGACACCCCCCCCCACCAAAAAAAATGGACATGTGTGTTGTAATAGAACTGGGTGCTAGACTGGATTTGGTTCACGGACTGTAGTTTGCTCAGCCTTGCAGTAGTCAATGAGTGAATTTACCCTCTTTGGTCTCCAGAGATTTATTATTTATTTTTGTTGGTGTGGGGCTTGAACTCTGGGCCTAGACGCTGTCCCTCAGCTCTTCAGCTCACAGCAGGCACTCTACCACTTGAGCTACATTCCCACTTCCAGTTTTCTGAGTGGTTTATTGGAAATAAGAGTCTCACAGACTTTCCTGCCCAGGCTGGCTTTGAACTGTGATCCTCAGATCTCAGCTTCTTGAGTAGCTGGGATTACAGGCATGAGCCACCAGCGCTGGGCTGGTTTGATTTCTTGACTATGGAGTCCATAAGGAGCTATGAAACCTGCCACTGATGGTGTTTGGGGCTTTCGTGATGGTGGATGGCACCCACTTTTCCTTTTCCCCATGAGGGCGCGTGGTGGGGTGTTCAGAAATCAAGAGAAGGGAGAAATCCAGTTGGGATTCAATCCCTAGTCAGAGTTCCTTTGGCCACCATGATGAGCTATGTATAAATGATTCCCAGAGAGGCTAGTTAATTGCATTTTGTCACACAGAGTGAGGACAACTGTGGCACAGGCTCCAAACATATACATCTGTGAGACCACACAGGCACACTCATGCACACATACGGACATCCTGGGGACAGACAAATGGTGTGGACAGAGAGGCAGGTGGACAGCCCGCAGTATCATTGCACACATTTATGCACCTACCCTGGCCACCAGGAGAGAAGAGTTCTGCACATTTTGTCCTACATCCCAAATCGAGGGTGACCGCTCACAGTGGAGGGAAAAGGAAGATAAAGAGGCAAAAAAAAAGGGGGAACTGAAATGAAAATATCCCACTCTGTCAGCAGTAAGCATGGTATAAGACTTGGGTGTTGGACAGACAGACAGACTTCTGTCAACATGGCCACAGGGCTTCTCATTCTCTGGCTGGCGATGGGACTCGGGTGGCTTTTTCCGAGTAAGTGTCTGCTGCTTTCTATGTGGGCTCCCTGTTGGAGAATATTATAGTGTAATAGTTTCTAGTATGTTCTTCCACTCCTCCAGGTGGAGGGTATCCCCTGCCTGTTACACAGTGATTTATCTGGAGGCAGGTTTGGGTTTTTTTGCGGGGGGGGGTAATTTTATGTGCTGATACTGGAAAAGAAAATTTCAGAATAAAACATAAGCACAATAGATCCGAAAAACAGGGGCAAGAAATTCCATTTGCATGTTTTCTATTGCACAGCATCAGGGCAATTGATTCTCTTAAGAACCCTTGTTATAATAGCCATTGCACTCTTATTTTCAGGAGTGTTTAGTTGCTTTTTGCTTCCTTTTGTTTTGCTGGGGATGGCTTCAAGGAGAAAGGCTGTTTGATTGTTTGAGACAGGATCGTGCTTTGTTACCAGGCAGGTCTTCTGCCTTAGCTTCCTAACGGTGGGGGTTATACATGTGTACTACCATGCCTGGCTAAGGAGATAGTTCTTTTCTGCACATTGTGTCCAGGTTTTACATGAACCATGTATGCCCAGTTTGGGCCAGGGAAGACGTTCTGGGGTATACACCGAGCTGGGGGCTCTTCCTGGTAATTTGTATGGGAGTCTGTGAATTGCTCCTTCTCTTCTGTGTGTGAGGGTCCTGAATGAGACCATCTACTGTCTAGGATACTAGGTATCTGTACAGGTACTACCTAGTGGCCCTTGATCCTTTGCAGGCTCCGTTAGGGTGGGCCAGGGGGCTTTGTCTCCTGAATCCTTCTAGACAGACTCCCCCCTCCCCCCAAGAAGCAACCCATAGGTTGAGAGTTATCCCTAGCCTTTCATGTGGTATGTGAATTTTTTTTCTTCTTGTCAATCATGAGTCTTGAACACTGGGCCTGGGCGCTGTCCCTCAGCTCTTTAGCTCAAGGCAAGCACTTTACTACTTGAGCCACAGCACAACTTCTGGTTTTCTAATGGTTCATTGGAGATAAGAATCTCATGGACTTTGCTGCCCAAGCTGGCTTTGAACTGGGATCTTCAGATCTTAGCCTCCTGAGTAGCTAGGATGACAGGCTTGAGCCACCGGTGTCTGGCTTAAAGTCTGGCTCTTACTGTTTTGACTAGTCTTCATGTTGCCCGTGAACTTGAGGTTTCACTGCAGTGTTTAATTATGCTGAAGTCTTTGGGGTCTTGAGCCACGTGTCCCGTTTGTGACTTGTGGATTTGTGGCGGGACACGGTGTGCATCAAATGGGGTTTCCCAGCCTTGCTTGGAGGAAGTTGTACCTGGTGAACTGTTCTTTTCTTGTTTGGTTGGCTTGGTTTTACTAGTGACCATGAATTGCACACAAGGGGATTTTCATGGTGACATTTCTTTCTTTCTTTCTTTCTTTTTTTTTTTTTGTCGGGTGTGGGACCTGAACTCCGGGCCGGGGCGCTGTCCCTCAGCTCTTCAGCTCAAGGCGAGCACCCTACTGCTTGAGCTACTTCTGGCTTTTTTCTGCTTATGTGGTGCTGAGGAATCAAACCCAGGGCCTCATGCATGTGGAGCAAGCGCTCTGTCCCTGAGCCACCTTCCCAGCCCCATCACGGTGACATGTCCATACATGTATGCGATGCGCCCTCTGTCCACACCTTACCCTTCCCAGCACTCTCCTTACACCCTTCCCCTTCTAAAATGATCTCAGCACGTTCATTGGTTTGTTTTTCTACATGCATGCCGAGATCACTGGCACCTGCTGCCTCCTCTTGTGCCTGGACTGACCTCAGACCTCAATCCTCCGATCTCTGCCTCTCCAGTAGTGGAGATGATAGGATTATGCCATCATGCGTGGGCCATGTTGGTTTTGGATGGGTTTGTATGAAATAGAAGAAGTGAAATCAAAGATTTCAGGGTGGAGACTTTATTGACTAATATTCAAGATCAGCATGTTTTAATCTGCAAAAGGGCCTTGCTGTGGAAAGGAGTTTATAGAGACTGGGGGTGGGGAGGTGGTGGGGGGAAGCTCTGTCTCTGGCTTGGGTGGGGAGTAGGGAGGGACATATGTGGATTCAGATTTTGGCAGCCCTGAAGGGTGTGTTGAAGTATGCTAAAGAAAGATACACAGATTCCAACCCTCTGGAATCTTCTGGAAGCATCGAGAGGCCTTCATCCATGTGATATCGATGTCTCCGTTATTTCCCTGCAGCACCTACATCAGCAGAGCTCACGGTGACGGGCATACTGGGCCAGGCGGTGACCCTGCCCTGTCTTTATTCACCGTGGTCTCAGAGCCGCAACAGCATGTGCTGGGGGAAAGGCCCCTGCCCCAAGTCCAAGTGCACCCAGGAGCTCCTCCACACGGATGGGGCCAGAGTGATCGCAGGGAAGTTGGACAAATACCAGCTCCAGGGAGACATCCAGCAAGGCCACATCTCGCTGACCATCGCCAAAGCCGAGGAAGGGGATGCAGGCGTGTACTGCTGCCGCATCGAGGTGCCCGGCTGGTTCAATGACGTGAAGAGGAACATCCACCTGCTGCTCAAGAGAGGTGAGCTCCAGGGAGGAGGCTGGGGATGGAGGAGGAGTCTGCGGGTGCCTGGGGCCCAGGATCCATGGATTGTGATGAAGAGGCGGTAACTTACGGAGTGAGTGGGAAGATTAGATTGAGAGTCAGGCCACAGCGCAGACATGGAAACCCCAGGACAACCACAGAAATGAATATAAGGGGTGTGTGGGAAGGAGAGGGGGCAGGAAACCAGATCAGGCTGAAGAGGGAAGTGCTCGTTACCTTAGGAAGTTGAACCCAGTGTTTTCAGATTTCCTGGTATGTGTGTGTGTGTGCGTTTCTTTCCTCTTCTGGTGGTGGTCCTGGGGTTTGAACTCTGGGACTCATACTTGCTAAGAAGGTCTTCTACCACTTGAGATATGCCCCTCATCCTTTAGTTTTCAGTCTAGTTTGTTTTTTTGTTCCCCAGATAGGGTCTCGTGCTTTTGCCTGGCCTAGCTCTGAACACGTCTGCCTCCAGGGTAGCTGCGATTGTGGGCCTGCGCCCACCCTGCCTGTCTGTCTCTCGGCTTTTCAATTTGTATGTGAGCTAGCATGGAGGCTTCTTCCTCTCCCCACTTCCCCATATTGGTTGATTTCGAAATAATAAGGAAAAGGCTGTTCTATGAAGTCAGTTGAATGCATTGTGGGGCAGCTGTGCCTTGAAAGCAAATAGTTAGTGACTTCTGGTGCGGGGTCAGGACATGGCGTTTGGAGACAACCCCGGCAGAGTTCAGGCTTTGTCTGCTGTTCCTATCAGGTGCTTTTTGATAAGAATTTGGGGACTCTGGATAGATTCTGTAGGATTAGATTGTCACCAGGCCCAGCGGCAGTAATCCAGGTACAGCGATTGTTTGAGCCAAGTCCTCCTTGTTGGAGTTGGAAACGGGGGTTGGACATACTTACAGGTGCAGTGGAAGGAGTGAAGTCTAGATGGGGAGAGACAGGGATGGAGGCAGTGAGCAGTTCAGCGAGCATTCCACGCTTCCCTCCCTGGGCACCAGGCGAGGGACACAGACAGGGGGAACGGAAGGTCGAAGGTTCACATGGGTTTCCTTTCCCTCTGCTTGGCGCCACTCATCTCTTCCCCCCGGGTCAGCCCCCAAGCCCAAGGTCTCAACGACAACAACGACTACAAGTCCAACAACCACCCCTCGCCCAACCACCGCCTTTCACCTGGCGACCACCACCGAGGGGCCTCCGACCACAGTCATGACCACATCTGCTCTCACAACCAGAGCACCCCCGCAGACCAGCGCTTCCTCCGTGCTCCCAACCGCGGGGACCACGTGCCCCACGCCCAGCTCCAGTCCCCTCCCACAGCCATCCACACCCCTCAGCACTGAGACCTCCACCGGCCCGTCCACCCCAGCTGCAGGTGAGCACTGACAGGGCTGGCCCTTCTATGGGACGGATGTGTCTTGGGTTTATTTACAAGCGATGGGGGAGCTCCAGGAGAACTTGCTGGTGTGTGTGTGTGTGTGTGTGTGTGTGTGTGTGAGAGAGAGAGAGAGAGAGAGAGAGAGAGAGAGAGTGGAGAATAATATGGCTCACTTAACTGTTCCTTTTGTTTGTTTTACGAGATCTTTTTCCTGTTTCTTTTCCTCGGTGTTTTTGAAAAGTCAGCATTTGGGGTTTTCCACTTGACCTCCCAGGCATCTCAAAGTAGTTGCTTATTGAAGCACTTGAAAGGTCATTCGGGGTTAGGCTCAGCTCTCAGGACTGAACCTTGGCGGGCCTTGGAATAGCCCTGGGTGCTGAATATTTCTTTTTCTTTTCTTTTGCCAGTCATGGGGCCTGAGCTTTTGTAGTCAAGGTTAGCTGTGCTACCACTTAGAGCCACAGCTCCCCTTCTAATTGGAGATAAGAATCTCACAGACTTTCCTGCTCAGGCTGGCTTTGAACCGTGATCCTCAGGTGTCGGACTCCTGAGTAGCTGGGATTACACCCAGCTCCTTTCTGAATGTTTCTTAGCCCTGGATCTTGTACCTCTTAGGTTGACGGGCTTGTTTGTCAAAAGCCTCCTCTCCCGTCATTAGATTTTCACCTCTGATTCTGAGCCAGAGCCTTGAAAAGGACCATGAGCCTGTTTTCCTAGGCTGTTCAGCTGTCTGCAGGAGGCCTGGCTAAGTCAAACAGCTTTGCAATATTAAATCAGCAAATTGTAGTGCACTCTGGACAGTCACTAACATCCCTGAACTCTAAATACATTTTTGTATATATTGGTTTGAAAAGATTCATCCTAGGCTAGGTGCTGGTGACTCACGCCTGTAATCCTAGCTACTTAGGAGGCTGAGATTTGAGGATCACAGTTCAAAGCCAGCCCGGGCAGGAAAGTCTGTGAGACTCTCATCTCCAATAAACGACTCAGAAAAAGCCATAAGTGTGCGGTGGCTCAAGTGGTAGAGTGCTAGCCTTGAGCACAAAGAGGCTCGAGGAGAGCAATTGGGCCCAGAGTTCAAGCCTCAGGACCGGTTTAAAAAACAAACAACAAAAAAAAAGACCCATTCTAAAACCTGTAGGTGTTTTCTCTCTAAAAATGGAAGGAAACTGGAAATCTAAAAAGCAGCACAATGACGGCGAAAAAGGAATAGCCCTAAATTCTGCTACCCACCACCAACCCCAGTGAACACCGCCATTCGCAGTTGCTTTTCGTCAGCCTTTTTTTTTTTCTCTTCCAGAATCAGAGACCTCTCTTCAATCTACCAACTCCCCCGGAGCCACAGAGGCCCCTCCTGCAGAATCTGCCTTGCCCAAGTCCAAAGGTGGGTCCACTGCGCCCCTCCACCTTTCAGAATGGGGAGCGAGGGTTATTTGCCATACTGCTGCAGGCTGGAAGCTCCACCTCTCTCTCTCTCTTTCTTTCTCTTTTCTTTCTCCAAAGGGATGGAAGGCTGGGTTCTCTGGTCCCAATCCCCCGCCATGAAAAGGGGAAGGAAAGACATGGAGGCGTCTCGGTCTGGAGGTAAGGGAGCTGTGTTCCAGCCACTGGCTTGTCTCTGGCTGTGGGAACAATCTACCCTGTGTCTTGGGATTCAGCTACTTTGGTTCCCATGGGGTCATAGCCCACATCGTTCTGGGAGCTAGAGCAAAAGGGAAACTGGCTACATGGCTTCTATGGTTTCTGTGGCTTTGGCTCTGTTCCGGAGCCCCCCCTCCAGCTCTTCCTTCTTCCTCAGCAACGTGGGCCTTGAAATCTGAAAGCATAGCCAGGAAATCACCTATTCATTTCGCAACCTATTGTTGATCTATGGTAAATCATACACACAGTATGCGAATGCACTTTGGTTAGTTGGACATAAGCATATTGGACGCAAACATCTCATTGACGCTGGGCCTTCAACTCCAGCCTCTTGCCCCGTGACCCTCTCTGTTATTAGTTGAAGATGAGTATGCTAGATCTTTTCTCCCAGTCCCTTAAGTGTATGTTTGCACAGAGAAATACCTACTTTTGTTTGTGGTGTAGGTGCGTATGCGTGTACAGGGGCTTGAACTCAAGGCTAGTCCTCCACCACTTGAACCACATCTTCACTTTCAGCTTTATGGTGGTTAATTGGAGATAAGATTCCTTCCCTGGGTTGGCTTTGGGCTGTGATCCTCAGATCTCAGCATCCTGAGTAGCTAGGATAACAGGCTATTTGAGCTGCTTGTGTGTACGTGTGTACGTGTGGGCTTTTTTTGTTTTAAGCCATCATACCAGATGCTGCCTTTCCATCTGGCTTTCTTCACTGAGTATTATGTATTGGACCACATTTGTTTTCAGTCCGTGTAGAGATCTGCATTTCTCAGTTGCTGGATAATATTCCATATTGTGGTGCTTATTGTATCGATCACCTATTGGATGGCATTTAAATTGCTCCAGTGTTTCTGTATTCTGATAGTATTATGTGAACATCTCTGAGTATGCATGTTTCCTTAAGCACATACACAGGTGCTTCTGAAAGGAGGCCAGGAATCAAGAAGTAGAAATGCTAGCTTAACAATCCTAGTGTGTTGGGCTGGGAAGGTGGCTCAGTGACAGAGTGCTTGCCTTGCATGCATGAGGCCCTGGGTTCAATTCCTTAGCACCATATAACCAGAAAAGGCCAGAAGTGGCGCTGTGACTCAAGTGGTAGAGCCTTGAGCTGAAGAGCTGAGGGACAGCGCCCAGGCCCAGAGTTCAGGCCCCACAACCAACAAAAAGAAAAAAGAAAAAACAATCCTGGTGTATACTATGCAATTGAATCGCAATCATAAACTCGTCCTTGAGACCATTTATCTATCTACCCATAGAGTATCTGATTTCCCAAATTCTCCCCACCCTTGCTGTGATCATTTGTTATCAATTTTTTCACTCTTCTAAGAGTATATGTTGGGGTTCCTCCCCTCCTCCCCCCTGTTCTGATTAGCAAAGAGTTTAGGTTCAGGCCCCACGACCGGACCCCCCCCCCCAAAAAAAAAGAAAAAGAAAATTGATTGAGGGTAGACAGAGTGCCCCCAAACTCTTACCCTTTGTTCCATTGAAATCTGGGACTGATGATGATGATGTCTGTTGTGGAGCTTGAACTCTGGGCTTGGGTGCTGTCGGTCAGCTCTTCAGCTCAAGGCTAGTGCTCTACCACTTCAGCCACAGTGCCACTTCACATTTTCTGTGGTTTATTGGAGATAAGAGTCTCATGGACTTTCTGGGCTGGCTTTGAACTACGATCCTCAGATCTCAGCCTCCTGAGTAGCTAGGATTACAGGAGTGAACCACCAGTACCCAGCTTTTTTTTTTTTTTAAACCTTCTATCCTGTCCCTCATAATTTTTATTTTATCCTCCTGGACCAAAAGATTGCTGCAATATCTGTTGTCAGTCCTGCTACTGCTGAAGAGGGGCTTGCTATAAGAAGGCCCAACCAAGGTAGGTGCTGGTGGCTCATTGCTGTCATCCTGGCTACTCAGGAGGCTGAGATCTGAGGATCATGTTCAAAGCCAGCTTGGACAGGAAAGTCCATAAAACTCTTAACTCCAATAAACTACTCAGAGAAAGCAGGAAGTGATGCTGTGGCTCAAGTGGTAGAGCACTCGCTTTGAGTACAAGAAGCTTAGTGACAGTGCCCAGGCCCAGAGTTCAAGCCCCACAACCAACAAAAACAAAACAAACAAAGAAGCGTTAATGGTGATCACCTATGAATGAATGTTTAAGGAAGCGTGAATACACAGCCCCCCCTCCCTCCTCAATTACTTACATAATTGTGTGTTTGCATGTGCACATATTTTTATATGGGGGTGAGGAGTCTAGAATTTGTGTTTTAGATTCTCAAACCCTTTTGCCATACCTCCAATGGTTAGGAACTATATAATCCAACCATGAACACAACCCATAATGATAATAATTAAAACCTTTGATGAAGGTAGGAGATCGTTGTTTATTTTCTTCCTCTCAGAAGTCTATTCGAGGAGGGAAAATGCTCCTATTAGGGGCATTCATTTCTTTTCTTGCTTGGTACCCAGGATATTCCCTAAAGATTCAATCCTTATTGTTTATGAGTTCCCAAGCCCGAGCGAACGCAGCCGTTTGATGATGCCGTTTCCTTAATAAAACCACACAGCCCGGGTGAAGTTCCTTTCTGATGATGTCTCAGGATGGGTTTTTATACTACCTCATTATCCCCAGCCCTTTCTTCCTAGTCCATTCTGCCCTAGCCTTCTGAGTAGCCTGGGATGTGGCGGTAAGACAGAGCACTATATGGAGAGTCTGGAGTGTCGTGGTTATATCCGTGTTTGTAGGGATTATTTTCCTTTTAGAATCTCAAGTGAGTTACTCGCTCTGTGCTTGTCTGCTTCCGCAAAATAGTAAACGAGGATAATAGCAGTGTGTATGTTACAGAGCCGTAAGGGAAGGGAACGCGCGACACACACAAAAAGCCTAGTGTGTAATTATTGACAGGTAAATGATAGTCGTTGCCGAGGGTTCTTGATTTCTCTCTTCTTCCCGTCTCTGATGTTATTTCCATTCACACACCTTCCATGGCGGGTGAATAGAGGCCACTTCCCGCCGTCTCTCAGCCGACTTGCTAGTCCTGCTAAGTACACAGACACTCTTTAGTTTTATGATATTTTAACTGCTAATCACACGAGGGAAACGGCCAACGAGTGACAAAAATCACCAAGTTAGGGAAGTTTAAAAAGCTTCAAAAAATCCCTCATGGTGGTAATTCTCTACTATTAGAGCCAGCGTTGGGATTTTTGATCCTCCTCCTCCTCCTCTTTCTCCTCCTCCTCCTCCTCCTCCCCTCCTCC